TGCCCCATCACTGGCTCTCAAACTTTAGCACGGGTCAGGATCACCTAGAAAGCTTATTCAAATACAGATAGCTAGACCCCATCCCAGAGTATCTGTCTCAGTGGGTCTGGGATGGGACTCAAGAATTTGCATTTCTAACAGGTTCTCAGGACATGCTGGCACTGCTGGTCCAGGAAGCACACTTTGAGAACCACTGCTCTGTACAAATATTAGCTGTCATTATTATTATTAGCAATGTCTGAGGTAGTACCAGGCAGATCGATAAGTACTCGAAGAAGGCAGGACAGAAAGACAGAAGTACACTCCTGTGTCACTCCTCTATTCACAGAATACTTCACTTCTGGTCACCGAATGTGAGGGGCAGGGTGGACCCCTCAGGAAGCAATTCTCCATCTCTCTGTAGACACTGAGTACCCCACAATTTAACTCAGCTCTGACACTACCTAGAGACACCATCACATTCCCCAGGTTAAGGGCTCAGTCCCACAAGGCTGCCTCCCCCTGCCCCCCTACTTTAATCTTTTTTTTTTTTTTTGCGGTACGCGGGCCTCTCACTGTTGTGGCCTCTCCCTGTTGTGGCCTCTCCCGTTGCGGGGCGCAGCCTCCGGACGCGCAGGCTCAGCGGACATGGCCCACGGGCCCAGCCGCTCCGCGGCATGTGGGACCTTCCCGGACCGGGGCACGAACCCGTGTCCCCTGCATCGGCAGGCGGACTCTCAACCACTGCACCACCAGGGAAGCCCTGCCCCCCTAGTTTAGACACCAGTTGCAAGTCCAGGTTATCACCTGTGCTTCTGAAGGACTGACTATAAATAGTAGGTGCCCACGACCCCCTCCACAGGTTCAATTAATTTGCTAGAGCGGCCCACAGAACTCAGAAAAACAACTTACTTACTGGATTATCAGTTTATTACAAAGGATGTTAAAGGATACCAGTGAACAATTAGAAGAAGAGATGAGCAGGGCAGGGTATGGGGAATGGGGCGTGGTGTTCCTGTGCCCTCCCAGCACCCTCCAAACCCCACAGTTCAGGGATTTTTGTTGTTGTTGTCTTCATTAGATAGGCAAGAATGACTAAATCATTGGCCACTGTTGATTATGTCAATCTCCAGTTCCTCCCCTCCCCGGAGGTGAGGAGGGGCTGTAAGTTCCTACCTTCTAATCACTTGGTTGGTTCCCCTGACAACCAGCCCATTCTCAGGAGCTTTCCAAAAGCCCCTAGCACAAACTCAGGTGTGGTTGAAAGGGGATTGTTTAAGGATAACAAAAAACACCTTCATGGCTCTTATCACTTGGGAAATTCCAAGAGTTTTAGGAGCTCTGTGCCAGGAAAAGGGTCAAAGACCAAATATATATTCCTTATTGTAAATCACAATATCAATATTGTAAATCACAATTTCATATTTTCCTACAAGTAGATGATCTCAAAGCCTTTCCCGCTGGATTTTGTTTCCCAAAATAAACAGACTGTATACCAAAGCCCTTATCTCAGTCTTCAGTTGACCCCAGCTGAGACAGGGCATAAGGTAAGCTCCCCACTCTCAGACAGGTGGGGAGGGGCATAATTAGCACCAGAGTGGCCCAGCTCCTCTCCTACCTAATGCTTTGTACCAAGTAGATGTTTTAGAACTACAAGTTAAATGGGTAAAAGAAAATAAAATGATGGCAAACTATAGAAGACAGACTATAACTGCTGTGTTATAAGACACAGACCCTAAGTAATGTAGGCTTCAGAGGAAAGGATGAAGTTTGAAGCAGAAGACAAATAGAGGAAGGTGGTCCTAGGAAAGGAAATGAGCCTTAACACACTGAAGACCCAGAGACTGGACTCCCCAGAGCTGACAACCTAGCAAGTGAGAAGAGGTGGGACAAGGTACATTCTGATGAAGGAAGGGCTCAGTAACTAAGGAGATGAGAGTAGATTTTACATGGTGGTTCATGAAGCCTTCTGAGCAGAAGTATGAACCAATTTCCCCACTCAACCACACCAAACTTTCTACGTAACCACTGACAACCAAACACCTGGGCTTACAACATGTGATTAACTCTCTTTTATCTCTTTCTTTTCTTCCTATGGTGATTACTAATTGGCCAGGCGCACTTTACATATTAATTTACTTAATCCACAAAGCAGCTCCATGAGGTAGGTTCTATGATTGTCCCCATTTTACAGATGGAGAAACTGGGGCACAGAGAAGTTACACAGCTGGGTGACAGAGCTGGGATTCAAACCCTGCCAGTCTGGCTCTCTCTTTCACATCTGTCCCCACAACAAAGTAACCACTTTCTACATGATAACCCCACATGATTCCTTTCCCAATGTTTCCCATATGTTGTATCCTTACCATTTGCAGAACCCGTAACCACAGATAATTTGTATATCTCCTACACGTTCATTGAGTTCCTGGCATATATACCAGATGCTGCACCAGCTGCTGGGAATACAAAGATACAAAGTCCCCATTCTCCAGAAAGGTCCCATCACAGATCTTGCAAGATGAACCAAGTTATGGAGAGGTGAACTACAGGTCGAGGTGAGAAGGTGGGCCTGGGATGAAACCAGATTGGTATGTGAAAAAACAATCCTCACCCATCCCAGAAGAGCTGTTACTTGAGCTGGAATGTTGTTCTCCTATTTATTTCTATGCATCTTTATCTAAGACCATTTTCAAAAGTATCCAATGCAAGGATGACTATTTTTTCCACTCAAATGGTTTTGGTCCTTTGTCTACCACAGTCCTATAGCACTGGTGGATTAAAGTCTGCTGTGTTTGGCACCAATGGATTTTGCTCTGTATGGTTCTTATAGCCACGCATGTATGAGTTGACACATAGTAGGTGCTCAAGAACCCTTATGGGGTTCATGATGAAGTGTTAAGGACCATAGGGAAAGATCTGGAATTATCATGCACTGTGCTTTAATATAATTTGTTATAAAACCTTCTTTCTCTTCCTCCCTTGAAACAGGAAATATACTGATGCACCGGCATTGTAAATAAGCCTAGTCTTCCCCAAAGAAGTACTGTGATATGAATGAAATCATCAGTTTACACTGGACAAGATGCTTCTAGAATAGCATTTGGCACACAGTAAACTCCCAATAACTATTTGTGGAAGTGAATTAAAATAATAAGCTTGGGCTTCCCTGGTGGCGCAGTGGTTGAGAGTCCGCCTGCAGATGCAGGGGACGCGGGTTCGTGCCCCGGTCCGGGAGGATCCCACATGCCGCGGAGCGGCTGGGCCCGTGAGCCATGGCCGCTGGGCCTGCGCGTCCGGAGCCTGTGCTCCACAGCAGGAGAGGCCGCAACGGTGACAGGCCCGCGTACCGCAAAAAAATAATAAGCTTTTTTTCACACCTGCCTTACACTATAAGGTGGCAAAGACTTCCAATAACAAAGTTCGTAAGAAGAATTTGAAGAGTAACCCGGATCAAACATAGAAAAAGCAGTTTTACGCACTTCACATGTGTTATCCTAAAAGAATTAGGCTACTTTCTTCCTGGAGTTCACAATCTGCAGATGGCTTAAATTAATTAGGGTCATCCCTCTCCACCTTTAAAAGCTATTAGTGGAAACCTGCCCAACACTAGACACAAAATCTGAAAATGCATTTTCAAATACTTTGTGGATAACAGGATTTAATGACACTGCTGACCGTCACATTAACTAGTGTGATCACAATACGCTAAGTATTAAATATAACCATTTCATTCCACTCTACACAGACTTTTGAAAGAAAAAAATAAGTAATGAACAAATGAGATGTTTATCCCCCAAATGATCTGGAATTAACAAAAAAGAAAAATTAAATATCACAGAGGATACTAATTCTGGGACTTCAGTGTATACAAAACAAAAAGGCTTTGAAATCAGCTGAAATCAACTCACAACATAATAAAGGATACTTTGGAACATTTGCCGCTCATTTGGTTGTGTTTTTTTTCCGCCAACAATACATAATATGAATAAAATGTGTTAGACTATTGTTGTGAAACCTACCTCAGTCCCTCCATCCATGCACCTCCCTTTTGCATTGAGATCTGCCCAGTGACACATGAGCTCTAAAGTGGGTGGATAAAAATAACCTGATCCTCAAAAAGACATGATAAACGCCAGACAGCTGAGTCACTTTGAAGCCCATTTTGACTCCCGAAAGGGACATTCACCCTCCTTTTCCTTCTCACACTTACACATACAACCTGGTGAAAAACACCACCAACAGCCCTAGGTGGAAGGCGGTGATGCGTCTTCACTTCCCCCTCCAGTCTCTGAGGTCACGACACGCGACTGAACTTTTAATAATTTATACTATTGCATTTCAAAGTGACTCATTTAGAGGAAGAAGCGGAAAGGCTTAAGGAAACCATAGTAATCCAGCAGACCCCCTATTTCTGCTGCCCGAGTGTAAGCACCCGAAGGTTTCTTCTGACATTCTGACGTAAAGAAAAGGAGTGGGGAGAAATTTAAAGTGGAGGGAGAAAAGATCAGAGAGTAAATCATAATTGACCAGGAGTGGGAATCCCTGGGCAAAGCAAACGGTCCCGGAAAGAGAAGGGGGGAATCAATCTCGTCCACCTACGCGCCCTCCGCTGTCGCCCCAAAGAGGACGAAAACCATCTGCAACGTACAGTTAAGATCAGGGAACTCTTCGACTCGATCTACCTTTCAAACGGTGGCGGGGTTTGGGGCAAGCTTCTAGGTACTGGGGCCCTGGCAGCCTAAGAAGCTTGGCGGAGCAAGCCACCGCGGCCGCCCAGTCTTTGGCCTCAGCAGCCTTGGGGCATGCAGCGCCGGGCACCCAGTAGGCACTCACTAAGTGTTTGCTGAACTGCAGTGCCCCTGAGCCAACTCTGGCGCCCGGCGAGGAGGTCTCCGGCTGCCACTGCGCATCTTCTCTCTCCGCTTCACGTGCCGCCGAGTTCGGCTGCTCGCGGCCGCCCCAGGCAGCCCGCACCGCGACCCTCCCCCGAGGCGCCGCCGGCGCCGCCGAGCCTCACTTACGGGGGAGTCGTAGGAGAAGGCGCACTCGTTCTTGTAGACCCTGTCCCCGGACCGGGGCACGCGGATCGTGGGCATGTGGGGCACCAGCAGCTCGCCGATGTCTCCTGCAGCCATCTTCCTATTGCCGCTGCCGCCCGGCATGCCGAACAGGGCGCCCCGGCGCTGCATGGCCGCGGCGCGCACCCAAGCGGAGCGGAGCGCTGGGTCCGCCCGCGGCGGCGGCGGCGGCGGCTGCTGGCTGCGCGGGCGACTGGAGCCGAGCCGGGAAGGGTGGAGAGAGCGGGCCGCGGGGCTGGAGCGGGCACGGGGGGCCTGCGCGTACTGGCGGGCTGGTGGAAGGGACGCTGCTATTTTTAATCCAATGGCGAATCGCCGGCCCAGTTGCAGCGTCAGGCGGGGCGCTGGGGAGGGCCAGCCGCAGCGCGCGGGGAGGGGGAGCTGGAGAGGGGCCTTGCGCCGTGGCCCGGCTCGGCGCCGGGGGCGGAGGGCAAGACCCCGGGCCGCAGGCTCGGAAGTCGTGAGCATGCTGCGGTGGGGCACCACCTCCGTGTTTTCTACCGTAAATCGTTAGGCTGCGAAGGGACAACTCCGAGGCAACCAACACAAAGAGCAGGATTTGAGGTTTTAAAAACCGCTTGCTTTTAAAACATCTGAGGATAACAGCGGGGACTGCCCCTGATTGGGTAGGGGTGGAACTTGAGGTGCAAATCTAGAACCTAACGTCGGGCCCAAATCTAAATTTGTTCTTTGCACTTCAGTGTTAGTCTCACTAAGCCTCATTCCTCACTTTTTTAACATCTAAATCTCGTTAGAAGAGAATAGAGTAGGATCCAGGAAGGATAGATGTGTATTTTTCCAATAATACAGATTTTTCTTACGTATGGGGCAGGGGTATATTTTTCTCTACCTTTGGAAAGTCTTCTGCGAGATTCGAGGTCTCCGCGTTCAGCATTCAACTGACTGATTTGGGATCTTACGTGCACACATGCATCTTCCCTGCCTTTGCACGTCCAATTCCTCAAAATAAATAATAAACAGGGTTAGGCTGGGGAGAATGCGGGGTAATAATCTGCAAACAGAGCAAACCTCACAGCATACTCTCATTTTCTCCAAAAAACTCTTAAAATACAGGTTCAATTCCATTGAGCTTCCCTACCTACACCCAACTTAAAGGGCAGGATACCAGTGATCCCTACCAGTTAATGAAATGGATAAATAGTGACTCAAAATGCTGATTTCTGTGCAAATCAAAACTATAATGAGATACTGCCTCACACTGCTCAGAATGGCCATTATTAAAAAGTTTACAAATAACAAATGCTGGGGAGGTTGTGGTGGAAAGAGAACCCTCCTACACTGTTGGTGGGAATGTAAGTTGGTGTAGCCACTATGGAGAACAGTATGGAGGTTCCTTAAACTAAAAATAGAATTATCATGTGATCCAGTGATGCCACTCCTGGGCATATATATCCAGACAAAACTATAGTTCAAAAAGATATTTGTTTTTCTCTTTCTGACTTACTTCACTCTGTAAGACAGACTCTAGGTCCACCCACCTCACTACAAATAACTCAATTTCGTTTCTTTTTATGGCTGAGTAATAGTCCATTGTATATATGTACTACATCTTCTTTATCCATTCATCTGTCAATGGACACTTAGGTTGCGTCCATGTCCTGGCTATTGTAAATAGAGCTGCAATGAACATTGCAGCTCTATTTACATGACTCTTTGAATTATGGTTTTCTCAGGGTATATGGAAATCTAAAAAAAAATATGGAATCTAAAAAAATATATATGCTTCTGAAGAACCTAGGGGCAGGAGAGGAATAAAGACTCAGACATAGAGAATGGACTTGAGGACACGGGGAGTGGGAAGGGTAAGCTGGGACGAAGTGAGAGAGTGACATGGACATATATACACACTACCAAATGTAAAATAGATAGCTAGTGGGAAGCAGCCGCATAGCACAGGGAGATCAGCTCGGTGCTTTGTGACCACCTAGAGGGGTGGGATAGGAAGGGTGGGAGCAAGACGCAAGAGGGAGGAGATATGGGGATATATGTATATGAATAGCTGAAAAAAAAAAAAAGATACATGCACCCCTATGTTCATAGCAGCACTACTCACAATAGCCAAAACGTGAAAATGACCTATATGTCCATGGACAGATGAATGAATAAAGAAGATGTGGTACATATATACAATGGAATACTACTCAGCCACAAAAAAGAACAAAATGATGCCATTTGCAGCAACATGGATGCAACTAGAGATTATCATACTAAGTGAAGTAAGTCAGAAAGAGAAAGAGAAATACCATATGGTATCACTTATATGTGGAACCTAAAATATGGCACAAATGAACCTCTCTACAAAACAGAAACAGACTCACAGACATAGAGATCAGACTTGTGGTTGCCAAGGGGGAGATCGGGGAGAGGGATGGACTAGGAATTTGGGGTTGGTAGATGCAAACTATTATTGGGTTGGCCAAAAAGTTCATTCTGTTTTTAGTAAAAATAAAAGACACATTTTTTATTTTCACCAAGAATTTTATCGAACAATGTATTCACTAACCAAACGAACTTTTTGGCCAACCCAATACAATTTAGAATGGATAAAAAACAAGGTCCTACTGAATACCACAGGGAACTATATCCAATCTCCTAGGATAAACCATAATGGAAAAGAATTTAAAAAAAAAGAATGAGGGACTTCCCTGGTGGTACAGTGGTTAAGAATCCACCTTCCAATACAGGGGATGCCGGTTTGATCCCTGGTCGGGGAACTAAGATCCCACATGCCAAAGGGCAACTAAGCCCTCACACTGCAACTACTGAGCACGTGAGCCATGACTAGAGAGCTTTGTGCCGCAACTACAGAGCCCGAGCACCACAACCATGAGCCCACGTGCCACAACAAAGCTCCTGTGCAACTAAGGCCCGCTGCAGCCAAAAATAAATAAATAAGTAAATATTTTGTTTAAAATCTCAATAAAAAAAGAATGTGTATATGTGTATAACTGAGTCACTGCTGTACAGCAGAGATTGTAAACTGTAATCAACTATACTTCAATTAAAAAAAACAACAACACACTGATTTCTGCAAGCCTCTCCCAGATCAAATAGTACTTAAATTCCTTTTTTTTTTTCTTCCATTATTTCTCTGTCACTCTCTGATTTTGTAGATGTGCTGGCTTTGCTAGGGAGAAAGGATGGTACCTGGAATTTGATGTGAGGAGGACAAATGAGCCCTTTGTTGCCCTGCTCTTCTAAATTTCCACACCTCAAGCAAGTCTCAAACACCACACATCTATGTAACTCACAACTCTCTAATGCGATCTGTTGGAAATGGAGAAGAAGAGACACAAAGCAAAAAATTAAACACCAATGCTACCCTCATCCTTGGGCAGATACTCGCAAGGAGATTTTGCTTTTTATTATCCTCACCAGCTTCTCACCTTCTAATAGTATCTGTGCCTGTTTCAGGTTCATGGATGAAGCTTGCTTGTCTAATTACAGAGAAAAACTTGATTCAGAAGCATTCAAAATTTAAGAGTTTCAATATTTTTATATTAAATGCAAATTAAATTGAGACACTATTTTTCAGACTAATAAAGATATATTGAGTTGGCCCAGGTTTGGGAAATAGGACCTTACATACATTGCTGATAGGAATAAAGACGTTAAACTTCTTTGAAAGGAAATTTAACAATACCAACCATAATTTTATATGCATGTAATATTTTCCCCAGCAATTCTTTATCTATATGTTTATGCTACAGATAAATTCACACTGTTTAAGGATATTTATTGGAGCATTGTTTATAGTAACAAAAAACTGGGAACAGCCTAAAAATCCATCTGTAGGAAGTGGTTAAAATACGGTACCGTCGAAAGAATGAAGCACCCTGTACATGCTGTTGTGGAAAAATCTCCAAAGCATATTACCAGATTAAAAGAGCTAAGTGCAAATCAATGTGTAAAAGCAAAGTGTACATTCAAGGCCAAGAATGTGCTATAGGCACTCTGGCACATCCTGTATACCATGGGCCTTCCTTCCAAGTGGTTGTACCTGTGCTAAATATTTTTGATGTTGCCCCTAGATAGCTATAGATTTAGACATTGATATCAATATCACGTAAATTTATGCTACATCGTAGATAGATAGGTGCTTGTTTGGCCTTAGGAAGCCTCTGGAAGAACACACAAGAAATTAATGACAATTGGGCTCTGTGGAGAGAAACACAGTGCCTAAGGTTAGAGAGGAACTTACTACCACTATTTACTTTTCTGTACCATTAACATCTTTATTATGTGCAAGTATTGTTTAAAAAAGTAATTATAACTCAGTTGTAAAAACAATAACCAGTAATATTAATAGAAGTTGAAGACAATTACTGCACCACCATAAAAATACATCCCAACTTTTTTCATGCAATGGCACGCATTGAAAATGATAATATTTGTACAGCCCACTGAAGTAATTGGTCAAGGATGGCTTCATGCAGCCTGGGGCTACTAGTCTGGGGCCCCAGTCACTGCAAGCCCCAGCCATGGCCTCCCAAGGATCAAAGAGATCTCATCACACCTGAATGCCATCTCTGCATACCAGAATGTCAATGGCACACCAGATGGAAAGTTCTAATCAAAACGGGGGAAAAAAAAGAAAAACAGGGGAAAATGACACCATCTAAACATGGAGGAATGAATAAATTAGGTACATCTATTCAAAGATGTTTATATAAATCTTAAAAAGGATTATTATAAAAATGATTGTTTTAATACATTTGTATGTTAGCGTAACATATACAATACTTATACATTATTATTGCAACTGGGTAAAAATAAACATGCATTTTTGACAAGACTGGAAAGACAAAATTTAAATAGTTTTGTTTAGGATTTGTTATAGGATTTTGTTTTTATTTTCAAAATGCCTTCAATGATGTTACGTTTTTTAAATAATGTAAAAATTTATCAACACACAAAGGCTAATAAGAGAAACTTCACTGAATTAAGATAATGTCTTAATCATGCCATTTTAGGGAAAAATTCTAGTTCAATTACTGGAATTTTTAAACTTAATTTTGCAAATTCTATATATGACTATTTTACTATTGGGCCAGTTTCCACATGTGGATCTTGATCAAAGAGAGGGAATAAGGTGATGATGAGTAAACAATTTTAACTTCCAACATAAATTTAAAGTCTTACTGGAAAATTCCCTGGTGGTCCAGTGGTTAGGACTCTGCGCTTTCATTGCTGAGGGCGTGGGTTCAATCCCTGGTCCGGGAACTAAGATCCTGAAAGCCACGTGGCACAGCCAAAAATAAATAA